GACATGAGGACCCCAGCACGTCTTCTCTTCAGTCAGATGGAGAACAGGATGTTGGGAAAGGACAGGACAGAGGTCTAAAGGAGGTTGCAGAGCAGACCGAGCCAGACAGCGGGAGCTCCCTTGCAAAGTTGGCTCCCTTCCAAGCCTGGGTCCTGAAGAGACCTAGGAAGAGGCAGGCACACCCCTGGGGACAGCAGGGAGCCAGAGCTCCCAGCAGGCAGGAGGGCAGGGTCCCAGATGGTGACCCAGGCTTTGGACAACCACTGGGTCTTTCCCGTAGCGCAGTTAACGCAGGAGCGTGCTGCTCCTCTGTCGTCTCCTCCGCCTTTGCCCCTCGGCCCTGGGAGGGGCAAGCAGGGAGGGGACACCATGCTGAGGCAGAACCCAGCCCAGAACCCGGAGAACTCAGAACATGGACACGTAGGGTAGAGGAGGGCACAGTCCCAGTAGGCCTAAAGCACATGTTGCAGAAAATGAAGTAGCGAGGGCAGGGGACAGAAGCGAAAAGGAGCCTGTGTGTGTTCCTGGAGGAGGGGAGCTGGAGGGAGGCGGGGAGGGGCGAGCAGGCAGGAGGCTCCCAGCCTGGCTCTGACCCCTGTGCCTATGTGCATGGGACTCCTCAGGCTCAGGGGAGGGGATGCTCCAGTCAGCCACCCTCACAGGGCTCAGGCTTTGGTAAGGGACATGCCTCCTTGGAGTGGAGGGGAATCCCTGCTCCCCATGCTGTCTCAGTGAACTTTCTGCCTGTACAGCCACAGCAAAACCACCCCTGGCATCTCTTTATCTAAGTCTAGAGTCCCCCAGCCTGGAACTCACTGCTGATGTGAGCCAGGGGCATCTGAGCACGAACAGGCCGGGTTTTCTGCCTGTATGGCCTTTGCCGCCCCACTTAAGAGCCAGGGACTAGAGTCAGTTTCCAAAACCAACTCATTAATCAGTTTGCCAGAGAGCAGCCATCAGGTGATAGCAAATGACTTCATTCCAGAGCTGGCCAGGGCCTTAGGGGAAGATAGTGAGCTTGTGGGGGACCCCCAGACCACAGTGAAAGTCCCTCCTAGCTGGAGAGCAGTTGGAGTGGGGTGATGGGGTGCAGTGGCAAAGCCAAAGGGTAACGAAAGCTTCTAAAGCTGTCCTCAAAGGCTTTCAGCCCATTCCCCCCACACAGTGAACTACCAGGAATCCACATTTACCACCAGTTTTGGTGATCTGGCAAATTGCTCGTTCAGCAAGTGACTTTAGACAAATTATTCTGGCCACCTCCCCAAGTGGCCACAGTTTAGCCGTCACGGCAAGCAGGTGGCCAGTCACTCATCCTTCAGAGAGCACCCTTCCCTCGGGGCCACCACTGGCATCAGGGCTGGGCTGCCAGCCAGCCTGGAAGGAAAGTTGAAGGGAGGCAAAGGTCAGCTGCGTCCTTCCCAGGTGAGCTATGGACAATTCGCTGGGTTTCTTTCTCCCTCACCACAAAAATGGGCTCTAAGAAATCATGTTACTAAAAATCAGTGTAATGTTTATTTAAAATAAAAGAGAATGTTTTCTATGTCTGTATATCTTTTGTGAATATTTATTAGGATTTCTTGTATAAAAAAAAGTGCAATATTAATAATTGTACATTGTCATCCAGAAAGCAAAGTATTTGGGGGACTTTTTAGTAACTTCCTGCAGTTGTGTTTCTGTAAACTCAGTGGTGATTATTATATTGTTCCTCTTTTTAATAGAACCTGATGTTTAACTCTGGATCCACTCACTGTGTACAGGATACATTGTAAAAACTAACATGGGATGATGGGGCAATAAGAGGGAATTCATTTTGTGACACAATAGTTACACATGGAATGAATACGACAAATTCTATACTACTACTAATGTGGCTGATTATTTCTAGTTCAATAGCTATTGAAAACCATGGGCCAATATTCACATTTCCTACACAGCAGGTGTCCTCCAGCTCTGCCGCGTGCCGGGCTGGAGCCTCTGGAAGTGGGTTTCAGAGCCAGCTTGGAGGCCCTGGGTTTAGGGTAGGAAACTGTGTGCTCCTTGCATGACATGAATGTTCATTTACTGTTGTTCTGTGAATTGTGACTCAGCAGCACCCCAAGATTATTAGGGCTGCTGACTAATGTGGAAGGAGGCACTTCCTCCTCTAAAACACAAAACTGTATTTATATTTTTTGTACAGATAATACAGCTTATTTATTTAAACCGTGTCGTCTGAGTCTCTCTTAAGCTCAGCCCTCCCACCTTGTTTGGTGCAGGGAGAGAGGGTGGTCCCTGGCCACTTGTGTGTGTCTGGCTGGAGAGGAGGGACTGCAGCTTCGTGTGGGGACTCGGGGGCCCAGGCCTGGAAGGGCCAGCTCTGTAAATGGACCCAGAGGAGCTACGGCTGTGGATGTGCCGCCCTGACAATCATCTACTTACGGCCCTAGGTAGTGGGAACAGCGAGCACAGGCATCTCTGGGGAGATGAGACGCGGGTGCAGGAGGAGCCTCACTGCAGGCCGGGCTTCCTGCGTGCAGTGCGCCGTGTGGAGTAACCGCATGCTGAATGCAGTCGTGCGTGTACACTACTGGAAGGGCCTAACATGTCTAGATCGCTGCCACATTTAATCCTCACATCAACCCTATAGTCATCTCCATTAACATGAGAAGGCCACGGTCACCAGGCCGGTGAAACGGATCCAAACTCCTGTGGTCTGGCTTTTTAGCCAGAGCCTTGCTCCTACCCACCATGCCATCTCCAGCTGCTCTGTACATGTGCCAACCGTGCGTGGCCACTTCAGCGTGTGCCCATTCCTCTCCCCACTGCTTGGAGGTTGGTAGAGATGGCAATACATTTTACTGGGATTGTTATTTATCGTCCTCTAAAATCAATTATGGCATTCTTGGGCTCCTAGCTCCCTACTTTTAAATAAAGCTGTGGGAAGTGTTAAAAATAAAAAAGCATATTACAGAGCTCTTCACGAACAGGCTCTGGTGGAAGAGCAGCGTGTCCCAGGCCCAGACGATGGCCATGCACAGACCTCTGTGAGACGCTCTGGAGGACCCCCCGCCGGGAAGCCGACCTCCAGCCTGTTTGCCAGCAACTGATTTCAACACGTCACACACTGCTGAGCAGCATGAAAATACACCAGAAAGCTCGTCTTGAAATTCCAATCATTTCCTAAGGCACTTTAGGTTTCACCAATGCTAGAGCTAGAAATACATACCAGCAACCAAACAATGTGCTACAGAAACTCCAGTGGGGAGGGGATGAGTCAGATGCCAGGGCAAAAACCCAGGAAGGCTAACCGGTGGGAAGGGCTCGAGTAGGGGGTATGGAAAATTTTCCAGCCAAACTCGCAGAGCACAGCAGAGAGTAAAAGAGAGATTCCTTCCAAGATGCCACCAACCACAGTGTAAAAGTTTGGAATGTTAACCACAGGCTGGCCCTGGGGCTGTAACTCCTCACATTTGAGTCCCCTGCTTGGCCTCAGAAGTTTCCAGGACTTTGGCAAGATGAGCCCAAGAAATCTGAGTCCACTGAGACCAGAATGTTCAACAATCGCCAAAGCTCATGTATGCCTCAGCTTCTTCACCTTTAAAAAGAAGATACCTCACAGGACAGGGTTGTTGTGAGAAAACTATTACTTCATGTCAAAGAAATACAAGGGTGCCTGGCATATCACTGAAGCACTCACTCAATGTTAACTGTTCCTGTCACCATCCAAGTCACCTTAGAGAGGTGGGGCAGTGAGGGACAGGTTGGCAGAAATACCACATTACTCCTATTGTCAGCATTGAAAGAGTCCCCTGTGTTTCTATTTTTGATTGAGAAGGACATCAGTCATTCCTCCAAAGTTCACTACCACACAATAGTGTAAACACGAGAGGCATCAGTGAACCAAGCTCTGTGTCTTGGAAGAAAACAGATCAGTCCGTGCAGCCAACTCAAAGACTCGCCAAAATACTAACAAATTTCTAGAAATGCCTCCCAGGACAGACGGTATCTTACATAAACCTACAGCCCAGTCTCAATCCAAAATACCCAAATGTACATATAAGTGCTATTTAATTTACTTTAAAAAATGGAGCAATACTCATTCAGGACTGCCCGAGTAAAGTAAAAGCTGAAATTAAGGATATTCCACTTACCATGTGGTAGATTTTCTCGTCTGCTCACCCTCAGGTATCACCCTGCAGATAACCTAGTTTTATTAACGGTTCTCAG